ACCGGGCCACCTCCTCCCTCAACTGTCGGCAATACTCTATTCTGTGGCCGTGAGTGCCATAATATTTGCACATCCGGTTAGGATCCCTTTGGGCTGGGTCGGATTTTAGAGGTCGAGGCCATTTGGTGTCCTTGATGCGCCCGATAGCTGATACAATGGCAGCAACATCAACATTAAAGTTATATTCTGATAACCTTGGTGCTTCTTTAGGCCCGATAGGCCTGTCGAAACCATTTTTGCTCATGAGTCCCCGACTGCTCTGACCTCGATCATTTCTCCTTTCATTTCGCATAGAATTCTGTCCAGACCCACTGCTTCTTCATTCTCCATTGTACGGCTGGTATCGATCCCTTTTTGACCTCAGTTCACGGTCGATATCTCTCTTCACTTTGTCAATGGGTCTTACGAGATAAACGGACCCGGAAGGAGCTCCAAGTTGATCATCTTCGACTCTGATTTTAGATTGATATCGGTTATGCACATCAGCCCAAGTAACAACCGGATACTCTATCAGATTCTGCTTCAACTGATGTGAAGCCACCGAGCTTCGACCATTGAGTCCATGGGTGAAAGCTTGAACGGCCCAATCATTAGTGACCGGTGGCAGATCCATTCGTTCCATTTGAAACCGGGACACGAACTCCCTGAGCATTTCATTATCCTTCTGTCTTACTTTGAAAAGGTCCTACTTCTTGGTTTCGACCTTGATAGCCCCGGCTTGTGCTTTCACGAAAGAGTCTGCGAGCATAGTAAATGAGTCAACAGAATTAGGAGGTAAGTGTGATACCATATCATAGCTCCCTTTGACAGGGTCTCTCCGAATTTCTTCAACAAGACAGACTCGATCTCATCATCCTTGAAGTCGTTCCCTTTGATGGCGCATGTGTAGGAAGTGACATGCTCGTTTGGGTCGGTCGTTCCATTGTACTTAGGAATCTTGGGCATGCGGAATTTTTTAGGGATCAGCTTCAGAGCCGTACTCGAAGGGAAAGTTTTTTGTACGAACTTCTGAGAATCCAGGCCTTTCAGTTCGGCGGCACTCCAGGGATTTTGTCGACCCTGAAATTGTAGGTTTCCACTTTTTTGTCGTTTGCTTCGATTTTCTTCTCCCCTGATTCTATCCATTTTGTCAGCTCCTCGAGCATTTTTACGATCTCAGGGTTGGTCCCCCACTCATTTTCATTCGACCTCTCTGCGATCGGTTCTTCCCTGCGGATGATTTCCCGGGACGGATCGGGTTTAATTCTGCTCGGTGTGCGGTTTTGGTTCTGTAACTGAGTTATCGCCGCCTGTTGAGCCTGTAACATTTTGAAGATCATCCGTAGATTGATCTCGTCTCCTCTATTGTTTTGAGTATTTTGCGTTGTCGATCGGGCTCCACCACTGATACTATTTTCGGGGTCAGTAGACAGGTTCGTGTCGATAGCCACATGCGAGTTAGTGTCCAATGGGTCCGCGACTAGAATTCCGACGGGATCAACGGGCGGTACCTCCTTACCAGGCGTTATGTTGTTATTTTCACCGTGCTGACCGGACTCATTATCAACAGGTATGGGTGCTAATTATGAGTTTGACATTTTGTGCTTTTAACCTGAAATTAGAGACACTTCAAAGAATAAGTGTAAAATAATGTGTGTTATGGAAATTTGTATCAAATAACCACTATTATCCTTAGCCCCACGGTAGGCGCCAAACTGTTTACCCTCAAAATCGGATAACAATTGAATTTGTAAGTGATTTTAAGGATATATGAATTAAATTGACACAAAGCGATAAATTAAATTGCAATTGAAATAAAGTATGATAAAGTAAATTCAAACCACACGAATTGAACAGTTACGGTCTTGGGAAGTGAACCACCTTGAACAAAATGCACTTCGATCAGTGTCAAAACACAGTTGAATAAGAACTTTATAGAGAAAATAACAGTATATTGCTTCTGAATGATTGTTACCATGTGTTTTACAAGTAATCAGACCCCCTTTATATAGTACGGGAGTCCTACTTTAGGTACAATTCTGCAAAAGGTAAAAATCTCCTGATTTGCTGATTTGCCGGTTCCTTATTGATACGTGCCGAGATTCCCGCCGTAATACCTGACCGGTCATGGATATTTCGGCCTTCTGTTATTTTGGTCTTCTGTTGGTTATACTGGCAATGTTTCCTTGAGCTCGTTCGGGGTCAGGGCCGATTCTGGGATCATGGACTCAATATTCTCGAGGACAGACATTCTGACCTCGTGTTCTAGTTCGATGGGATTCGGGGTCGATCTTCAATCCCTCATGTTCCGAGCCCTATGGTTCAGTTCGGACGGTTATTTTCTAAAATTTGCACCATACCAATTTTTCGGTTATTCTATTATGTATAACCAGAATTAGATTTTTCAAAACCGTCCCAATCATATCGGTTTCTCTTCAGTATCGGTACGGTTCGGTTAATTTTCAGTATAATGTCATGTAAAAGTCACTACTACAAATAGAATGCAATAACATGCATACTTTTATAGGACTTAACAAACTCTCTACATTTTTACTGTTTAAATGATGACAAATTAAGAAAATATGAAAGATGGCCAGATTATAGATCCATCAACTATTCTATAGTAACATAAAAGAAACTAAACAAAGACAAAAAAACATAAATCACACGAGTGAAAAAATATTAACCAAGTTGACTCAAGAATAAAGTCTATAGAAGATTAAATATTCAAAAAGATAAATCTAAATTATACGAAAGGAAAAATATTCAATACAATGTAGTTTGCTACTAATAGCTAGAATACCTTATGTCTTGCTAGTGAATATGTTTGAAATAATTTAGTTTCAATAGGACTAGCAATATAGGGTTGGGAATTAGGATTTTGAGTTTAATTACTTGTTGGCTTGTAACTGTCTTCACAATTATAAGGCCCAAGGAAATTTTAATACATTATTATTTTTAACGTAATATATAAATATATTTTTAACATGTAAATTTATTCTGTACGGTTCAGTATTTTTTCGGTTTATACGGTTATAGATTTATATTAGAACCGACGTTTTTATTAAAAGAAACCTAAAAATCAGTTCGGCACGGCATGGTTAGGTCAGTTTAGTCGGTTTTTAAATATTGATGATAGGCTATAATTGCATATTTTAGTCGCTTATTACACTCGAATTTACTGCACTTTAATTGAGTTTGCGCTTTAATCGCTAGTGTTTTGCACTAATTGTATGTTTTATGCCTTGTAGGTGTGATTCCGAGCTATATAGATGTTATGGAATGAATTTAAGTGATTTGAAGCTTTGAAGTCTGAGTAAAAGCTCAAGGAATTAAGCCGGGATCGTGTTCGGAGGTCAAATTTGATAATTAAGTACGAACAAAGACTTGAGGAGGCATATTGCGCACTGTCTAGTAAAATAGACATACCTTTTTGCTCAAAACTCCATTTGGGCTCCACAATATATGGTTGGAAAGCTAACTCAAAGGGCTACAACTTTCATGTTTTACGTTTTTCCAAATTCCAGACAGAACAGGGTGAAAAACCGCGGTTTTGCCGCGACCGCGGCAGAACCGCGGCAGAGTGTACTCGCGGACAACTGAAGAATCAGACGGCATGTTTGGCCGCGGTTCCACCGCGACCGCGGCAAAACCGCGGCAGGAAGCGAAAATTTCAGGGACTAAAGTGCAAAATATGGAATTTTAAGTCCTAAACCCTATATTAAACAAAGGAGGCCGGCCAAGAACAAGAGGGGGACATATTTTGGACACAAATTAGACCTAAGGAGGCAGAGACACTACTTTAGGGTTAGACAACACCCTTGGAGGCAAGAACACATTGGGAGCAAGGCGGAGAATTCTTCTACAAGTTTTTCCTTCCTCTTCCTATTTTTCATTGTTGGTTATGACTTTTAGTATTGTAGTTTTACATACTATTATGAATAGCTAATTTGTTATCTAGAGTTTTGATAGAACCTTTTGTAGGATAAATTCTTGTTATGTTTTTATATAATTGAGCCATAGCTTTTCTCTATTTGTTCAACTACGTTTATATTGTGGTTGGTTGAAGAGCTCTCAATTAGCTGTGCCTATTTAGTATGCATAACTCGGGAGAGAGTGCATATTTAGGTAATTGTTGAACAACACCACTCCCAGAGTATATGAGGGATCAATAACCGAGGGTTTAAAGGTGGGATTAGGGATAACGAAGCCTTGGGTGCGATCTGAAGTGAGCTGTATTAAAAGCCAGCTAGCGTAGCTCGGGAGAGTGCGTCTAGTAAATTGTCGTAATTACTCGGGAGAGATTTACGGTAATAAGAGTGCTCATGATCGGTAGAGAATACTTAGGCGAAATTATAGAAGACATAGCGGGAAGGATTCCGACAATTGGGGAAATCATAACTCTAGACCTCCTTAATCTTTTCTCTAACCCTCAGTATCGTTAGTTGTTAATTTACTATTTTAATTTGTTAGTTAAGTAGTTAAACACAAGAATCTTAATATCTATAGGTTAGGAATTGTTCAAGCTTGTCTTCTTGGTGATAGTGAACAGCTGTAGCTAAACCTTAGTTCTCTGTGGGATTCGACTCCGGACTTGTAAACCGGATTATATTTGCAGCGACCGCTTAGTCCTTTTTATAAGGCATAGTTGGGCGTGATCAAATATCCATTGGCACTCCTATCGATATGTCATGTAGTAGACGAGCCCGATTTCGATCATATACAATCCCACACCGTAGGATCTGGGGAAGGTAGTGTGTATGCAAACCTTACCCCTATCTTGTGAGGATAGAGAGACCAAAATATTAACAAAAGGATTTCCTCAATATAGCTTCAAGAAAGCACGATGAAAACAAATTATTTGAAGTTTCACTGAAGAAGGAAAATCGGATCTCATATGATCCATATTCTCCTTTTATTTAAGAATCTTTGTTTAAGTTAAACTTATGATCTTAAAATAAATTACAAGTTAATACTAAACTTATGCAACAATTCTCGGATATAATTCTCAGTTACATATCGCAAAGGCCGAATAATCAATCAATGAATTATTCCAAATTTTATTAGCAAAATCTGTATCCTGAATACAAAACAATAATTCCTCAGGGAACTTGAGCAAGAAGCCGGATAAGAAAACAAAATCACAAGTGTGTCCTTTTTTTTTTAGTCGATAATACGTCAGATTAAAAAGAAAACATGTGTAATGTGTCCCAATTTTGTTGTGAAAGACTCTTTTTTTCAAGACGATAGGACATTTTTAACCTCAGAAGTAACTTCTTTTGGTGGTTTTTCAGCATGAAGACTTGCAACAACACCCTTCTTGGAATAATAATTGATTACCTGCATATCAAACAATTTAACATTTAAAAAAAAAAAACATAAACTTTTCATCTTCTTCCGTATGCATAAAGCAGATATATTTAACAACTTTTCTTGATTGACTCGCAAAATGGTGATAGGTGAATGCTCATATAACAAAAGCTGAAGTTAGCAAGAGCATATACAAGCACTATACAGATATTGTTGTGCATCTATTGCTGCTTGGTAAACCCTATACTGTTAGGGGTCGTTTGGTATGAGGTATAAGTAAATATAGTGCTGGTATAAAAATTTAATACCACCTTAATACTTTGTTTGGTTAGCAAACCTGGTAAAAGTTGTCCCGGGATTAAAATAAGTACCGGGATAACTTATACCTTGTAGGGGGCGGGGTAATTAGTGCCAGGATAACTTAGACCTTCTTCTTAGAAATTATGCAATTGTCATTTTTAATACAACATACCAAACAGTGGATATAAAACAATACCAGGATAACTAATCACAGCATAACTTATTCCAGCATAAGTTGTATTTAAACTTAGGGGTCGTTTGGCAACGATGGAAAAGCAAAAATAATCCTCAGACAAAAGTTTAACACCGCATTATTCTTTGTTTGGTTATCCCGGAATTAAAAATAGTACCGGGATAACTTATATCTATTAGAGGATGGAATAACAATTCCACGATAAGTTATCCCTGGAAGTTAGGAAATAGCAGATTTCTCGGTTATAAAAAAGAGTTAGAATGACATTGTTCAACTTGGGATAATTTATTATGAGAGGACCAAATGAACTGTAAGAACGTACCGGTTCAGTTTGACGGTGAAATGCATCTAGCCTTGATTTGAGAACTTCAGCAGTATCATCTTTCCGTTGAATTAAAGGCTCTCCAGTGATCTGTACGCAGAAGATACATCATTAAATCGCTTAATGATATTTTGGAAGAACTAATATCATCGATCATCTTTAACTACAGCATGAACTTGAATGCATACAGTTTCTTCTGAGGAAATACAGAAGAAAAAGGGATGCCGATTTAAACTTTACAATTTAACATTAATTTTAATGATTATTATCCAATTGCCTACTATAGTGACTAGGTTGCTCTGTTTGTGTTTGGTTTCTTAATTCCTATTGTTAGAATATTCAAATACATTGAGAACGGAAATCAGCTGTATATAATTTTATCTATATAACTTATCTGAACCCATGCAACATAACTGAAGGGTTGAGTTCTCTCTCCAGCATTTAACAGGGAAATGGTTAATGTTAGACATGAAGACATAAGACCAAGAATATTTATAAAAGCCAAAACTAAACCATCTCGCCAGGTACGTCGTTGGAAAAATTTAAGGGTCAGAGACTACACTCCCTTCAGCTAATTACTGAACAAGTTTAAGGTTCCTTAAGAAAGAAATTATTTAACAAGTAAATGAACTCAGAAAAAGCCATGAGAACGTAGCTGAGCTCCCTAAATTTGTTAGTATGGTTTTAATCGTCACTGTTGCTGGTTTAGCAAGCTGATCTCCCAGAAATTTGTTTCATAGTTTAGCAAAGATAGAGGGGCCAGGTGACAACTACCAACCAGTATAATTCGTTTTCAGCAAGGTATAGAAAGCGAGAAAGCAAATGCAAATGCGAATCTAGGATTTATAGAACATGGCGCACCACTGAGAAAACGAGAAAAAAGTACTAAGTGGGAATCGGTCCATGTTCCTGTGGATAAATAACTCAGCATTCAACCAGGTGCACCATTCAACCTTTTTGGAGCATGGGAGCCAACAGATAATATTAGATTAATTTTACGAAATATATACACAAACTACCTAGTTTGACGGAATGACTATGGGTTCACGTGCACGGTAAAAATAGCCTAAATCCACCCCTGAGTAAATGCAGCCACTAAACACATAGCAACCATATTTTTCCATTCACATAGAATATATACTGTAGAACAATTTGCAACTTAACAAACTTACATCATCGACACCAGGAACTTTTGGAGGTTGGAATTTGGTGTGGTAAGATCTACCACTTGAAGGATGGATCCATCGGCCCGTGATTCGCTCTTCCAAGATTGCATCATCAATTGCAAAATTGAGCACCTTATCAATCTTGGTCCCCTGCTTCTGAAGCATCTCATCTAGCTGTATCCCATCAAAATTAAAAATAAGAACACAAATAAGATGAAGTCAACGTGCAAAATTTACATAGTTTTCGCCAACCTTTTCTGCTTGAGCCACTGTCCTTGGAAAACCATCAAGAATGAAGCCCTTTTGACATGAAGCTTTCTTCATTGCTTCATCAATTATGCCAACAACTAAGTCATCCGACACAAGTTGACCCTGTAAAAATCTTAAAAATAACATTATTCACAAACAAAAAGGCAAGCACTATAAATAACATTAGGAAGTTGTTTCCCATCTCAAAAAACAACTGTTACTTACGTTGTCCATAGCTTCTTTGGCCTTAATTCCAAGTGGAGTTTTAGCAGCAACAGCAGCTCTGAGCATATCACCCGTGGCCAAATGGCACAAACAAAATTCATCCTTAATGATAGGAGATTGTGTACCCTTTCCGGATCCAGGTGGACCTGCCATTAGTTTCTCATTGTTAACACCAAATTTGAACGTCACTAACCACTATAATCTATAACATCATTTAATTTTAGCATACTGTTTCACAAAAGGAGTACATGTTATGAACGATTACGTAGCAATGAAAAAGAAGCCAGGTGAATGCTATACTACGTGAGATACATTATCAAACATACGGCACAAGATTGTTGAATTCCATACAAGTGGAAAAGACAACATTTTTTTTAACTTGCATTTCATGACATTAGCAGCATCTAATATAAATTCACATTTGTGTCAATAAAAGCCAAAAGAAGAAAAAAATGCAATTGCTCTAGAAGATTGAAGTTAACTTTTTAACTACAGAAATTTCCTGCCGTTGGATATCAATGCAAGCTGTGAATATCCGATCTATCCTATGCTAGGTAACTAGTGGTGTTCGCTGCAGAAAACAAGATACCAAAACAAGAAAGGAAAAAATGACAGCTTTTATTATCCTCTTACCTCTACAGGCTTTTAGTCAAGTTAAAAAATTGCAGCTTCATTAATTGTCCATTCTCCTACAAGCTTGCTTGAGAATTCGCATGATACCAAAACCATTCAACTCGAATACTCTAGCACACGCAGTAAATACAGTTTAAAGCTTCCATCAAGCAAGTACCGCTCATTCCCAAATTAGGTTGCGTCCTTGAATTCATTAAACTATCTAAAATCTAAACTTTAATGTGATATTTTCTCAGGGGGCGGCTCAATGATATATGGGGTGAAATTAAAAAATAGTCAGATTTACAAGTGTTAATTGAAAAATAGCTACGGTTTCAAAAGTAATCGAAATTTAGCCACTTTTCATGTAAAGATAAATCTGAACAAAAATACTGTTCAAAATCCGGAAAATTTTCCAGCATAATATACTGGAGTTGGAATATTTTACATGTGAACTTCCAGCATAATATACTAGAGTTCCAGTATAATATACTGGAGTTCCAACATAATATGCTGGAAGTTCATACACAGGTGCTCCAATCTCCAATATATTATGCTAGAATTTTCCGTGTGGTGGAGTTCCAGCATAATATGCTGGAAGTTCATACACAGGTGCACCAATCCCCAGTATATTATGCTGGAACTTTCCGTGTTGCAGTAAAATAGTGGATATTTTTCAATGACTTCGCAAACGCTGGCTATTTTTCAATTACCAGGCCGAAATTGGCTAGCCTATGCTATTTTCGCTGATATATGTGGCCCAAAGCCAAACTTCAATAGGGGGCCCTAAGCTTTTTGTTATAGAACAAATTATATATATATACATATTACATCTCTAAAAGCTAGAAAAATAAACTTCTATATATATATATATAGAAGTTTATTTTTCTAGCTTTTAGAGATGTAAAATTATTAATAATTTATTTATTAAATATTTCAAATGCACAATAATAAAAATATAGTACAATCAAACATGATTCAACAAATAGATATAACTACATATATTTTTGCTGCTTCAATATTCTTGATGCAATGGAAAAAATTGAGAACAAACAAAAGAGGTCACAATTGTATTTCTGCTCTTTTATTTTTTGAATAATTTATAAAATATTTACTCATACATTAACACGAGAATTCTAGAGAAGGCCAAATGAGTGTAGAATAGTAAAAATGAATATTTTGGATTGGATTGGATTTTTTAAGTTTGAATTCGGATTAATCGGTTTGGATATTTTGGATTTTCGATTTTGAGCTTAACGTTTCTTCTTTCTACGATAATGAACATCCAAATGAGGTATTCATGTTAAATTGCCTAAAATGTTCTTCATTTTCACCGAAGTCATTCAAATAAGTATTCAAGTAATAAAATCATCATCAAGAAAATACAACAAAGACATTAGTAAGGTTGATAAGAAGTAGCAAAAGTAAAATCACGTCCACATAGAAAGTACTCTGATAGTAACTTAATAATTAGTATTGAATATATGAGATTATGTATTGGACTTGATACTATTGACATATGGATAATGGACTAAATATAAAATATAAAAAATTTGGATTTTCGGTTATCCAAATCTTAAGTACCAAATTCAATATCCAATCCAAAATTCAAAAATTTTAAAAATTAATCCAAAATCCAATCCATAATCCGAAAATCCAAACCACAAATCTAAACAATTCAGATTTCAATTTGGATTTTGTGTTTGCCCAAACCATGCCCAGCCCTATATGTAACTACAGCTGTTGGGAAATTTTGGGGCCCCCAAAGTAGGAGGCCCAAAGCAGCCGGTTCATCTGCGCCTCTGTTTTTCTCTATCAAATTAACTTTTAACGTTATTACTTAAATATTGTTTTTTCAAGTACCAGTACCAGCAAATACTAACATGATGTATAACTCAAATTAAAAATCACAACTTGGTATCCAGCCAAATATTGTCATGAACAGGGAGTAACTAGGGATTCAGAATTCTGATGCTAAATTGCTAATGTAAATTTTTTACCCCAGATCCTATAAAAATAAAAACACAGCAAGAACCAAACAAGAGAGACTATATATAAGATACTACATCACATACTGTGCATTAAGAATTGAGAAGAAATAAAAGGAGACAAAAACAGCAGATCCCGTAAAAATCAAGACTTGTCCATGAAAGCCCACAGGAAGAACCAGACAAGGGTAAGAGAGACAAAATTACGAATATACCATATGATATGACAACAGGTATGTAAAAAAGAGAGACTAAATTCTCTTATTAAGTTTTGAACCCATAATGTGTTCATAAGAATTTTAAAGGCAAAACACATCAAATTTAAAAAAATACCAATGAGAATGAGGCGTTTGTCAGGCTTAGAAGAACATCTCAAACGGCGGAGAACTTCAGACAGAAGGCTTTCTGAAGGAACATCTTCCAATGAAGCAGCCATGTTTAACTTATTCTTGCCTTGTCTTTTTCTCTGGTTTCCCTTATAATGGGATTCTGGGTTTGGTAGATTTAGAGGTTAGGTACACCAACCTATAGATACACAAACTTGTACTTCTATAACTCTGATCCCCCGCGTATAACGGAAATTAAGTAATACCGATTTTTTTTTTTTTTTTCGTAGTAACAGCAGCAGAGCGCAGACCACAAGCGGATAAAAAGTACAGTAAAGTCAATGACGGACTTGTCCGAGAAGCAATTTGTTGAAATTTGAGCCACTTTTCCTCGATTGGTGGGCCAGTTTTTAGAAAGGCGCTTTTTTATAGCATTAGTTATTGATAGCTTATTTATTTTAAATAAATATTTTTTTAAAAAATTATAGATTTCATAGCTATTTTTTGATTTTTTATAGTCAAATATTTATTTATGGTCACCTTGATGTTCGGTCAAAAATGTATATATTTACCCATTGTTATCTTATATTCTAGTACTTTTAATCGTCTTTTGAGTATTAATTACATTACTTTGTGCATAATATTATGTTTTAACTGTGTAGGAATAAAGCAGTGCGAAGATGAAAAGATTTGGAACAAAATTGAATGAAACGCGGAAGAAAAAAAAAGAAAAAATAATATTAAAAAGGGGGGGGGGGGTGGACACCCTTTGGTTTTGTCCCCCTAAATGGAAGACAATAGAAAAGAAGAGATGCAAAGCAAAGCAAAATGTTGAAAGTAGTGGCGTGAAACATTATGTTTTCAACGCCACGGCCAGCGCTAGGCGCCGGCTTGGACGCTATGTTACGGGGTTCTCCTATTTCGTCCGGGACAAGGTTATTTCGGTCCTACACGGTTCCAACTCGTATATAAGGAGTCCTAAACCTAATTTGGAGGATGGCTAACATACTTTGAAGGGGAATTCACGTGTAGGAACACACACCTGGAGGAGGCTTCTAACTAGTTTTTCTTCTCTTTTCTTCTTTTAATCTCATAGCTCTAGAATATTCACTCACATTGAATTCGTCTTTAAGCTTGTCGTTGTTTTCTTTAATCTCTTAATTTGTTACTCTAGATTAATTTTAGTTAAATATTCATACGTTAGGATTCGCTTGAATAGATTAATTGTTTGGTTTAATTTAGTTGATTGTTAATCACAAGTCCCTGTGGGTACGATATCTGGACTTACAATCTTATATTACTTGTTGACCACGTATACTTGCGTGTGCGTTTGGGAGCAACAACTTTTTGGCGTCGTTGCCGGGGACTTAGAAATTAAATATTATTTTAGATTAGATTTTTACTTTTTGTCTACTCAAGTTTTTTTATTTTTATCTTAGTTTAATACTTTACTGTCTTTGTTGATATGGCATCTTGAAATGATAATTGGTCGAATATTGGTTATTCTTATTTTGGCGATCCATGTCCATATTGTGGGAGACCACACTTGTGGCAAATTTGTGAATCTCAATCATATGGATGGAATTTTTGTAATGTGTGTGGTTGTCAAGGTGGTCATTGGGATGGTTGTCCTAATTCTTATCATCCTTCTCATAACTCTTATTATGATGTTTCTAATAATATTTGTGAGTTTTTTAGGGGTAATGAAGTGCAGGATATGAAACCTGATGCATATATTAGGGATATTTTGAGGAAAGTAGCAGAGCAACAGGATGAGCTCAAAAAAATATGAAAAGAATGAGGGCAACAATCACAAGAATGAAGGCCAATATGAAAAAAATTAAATGAAGAGAGCGAGTACCAGCAAGAGGAAAATTTTGAAAAGGAGGAGATTTTGAGTCAAACTTGGTTGGTAGAACAAGCCGAAATATTGAAAATATATGAGGCTCAACATGAGGAAATTACAGATGGGATTAGAGACTTAATAGAAGGAAGAGCTGAACTGGGACAAGAAATCAAAAAATTTGGCCCTGTTATTCACGACTTGGATGCAGAATTGAGTGCAAAGGTTGATGCGTGTAACGTCCAACAATTTAATGAAGAGTTGTGTGAAGTTGAAAAAGATCTTCTAGGACAAATTGAGGAGCTAAGACGAGAATACCAATTATCAGACCATGTTCTGTGGATGATGCTAAGGTTGAGGCGTCTGATGCCCTACAACCAATTTTGTGGATACTGGCCAGCTTGTGGAGAAGAAAGAGGAATTCCAACTATTCGACCAAAATATTATTAATGATGCCAAGGTTGACGAAGAGTGAAAAATTGAGGATGCCAAAAATAATACAATTTTGGAGTTGAGCGTATTGGACCTCATTCTAAACACTTTTCAACATTGTATTTGGCTGGTGACACAGGAATTGATCCAGTCGAGCATATGGAGGAGTCAATGGATGAGGAACAAAGTGTTTATATTCTGAAATTCGTCACACCAAGGAGACAAAACGACATTCCTTACTTGAAGGCCAAGAAGTGCAAGATGCGATATTTATTGCTTGGTTTCTTTATTTTTACACCATCGCCCCATGAACGTGACAGAAAAATTGATGCAAAATTGGGGGCGCAATTCATATCCTCAAAGTGGAAGGAAAAGTGGTGAAAGTGATGGCGTCGTGCCGCAACATAAAATCAGGCGCTTGTTGGGAGGCAACTGTCACGACCCGGATTTCCCACCATCGGGAGTCGTGATGGTGCCTACTAATGAGAGCTAGGCAAGCCAATCCTTAACTAACTACTTCATTATCCAATTTCTTCTTTTTAACAAATATAAGGCGATAACATAAAATCAACGGAACTTTAAATAATTAAGTGGAAGATGACAATTACATATCTGAAATCTGCATCTATTACAACTCTTAAAACCTCAAACACCCAAAACCTGGTGTCACAGTGTCATAGACTATCTAAGATTGCTACATACAAAGTCTGAAGAAATAACAGTACATTGTTTCTGTATAAAAAGGAAAATGAAACAGGAAATAGAGATAGAGGGAGACGCCAGGGCCTGCGGACGCCTGCAGGTCTACCTTGGGTCTCCGGGTGGATTGAAGGAAGCCTCCAACTACTGTCCAAAAGCTGCTCCGGGATCTGCACATAGTGCAGAGTGTAGTATCAGCATAACCGACCCCATGTGCTGGTAAGTGCCTAGCCTAACCTCGGCAAAGTAGTGACGAGGCTAGGACCAGACTACCAAATAAACCTGTGCAGTTCAAATACATATACAGCGGAAAAGAAATACAGGGATAACCAATCAATATGGGAGGGGGAGCATGCTGTGGGGGAGATAACAATTCCAAATAGAGAGACATCAGTAACGAAGGAAACAACATAACTCGAGTATCAATCAAGAACCAGAAATCAATAAATGCACGGCATCACCCTTCGTGCTTTTACTCTCGTCCTCACCAAGCAATTATATAATAAAAATGTGCACGGCATCACCGTTCGTGCTTTTACTCTCTTTCCTCACCATATAATCAATGGAATCGGCACGGAATGGTACATCGTGCGGCACGGCATCACTCTTCGTGCTTTACACTTTTTCCTCACAATCATACACGGCATCACCCTTCGTGCTTTACACTCTTTCCTCACAAACAAACAATACACGGCATCACCCTTCGTGCTTTAACACTCTTCCTTACCCAAACATCAATCACAAACAATGGGGCAAGGGAATAAACAAGATTACAATAGGAATCTCGGCAAGGGAACAACATCAACATCCCGTCAAGGGAGATAACCAATAAGGCAACAACATCCCGGCAAGGGAACAATTGAATGACTTCTTTCTCTTTTCACTTTTTCTTCACAACTCACTTACCACTTGAGCCAATGCTCCAAAGGGTTCAATCAACTCATATACTTTCACAATTCGTAATATAACTTGAGCCAACGCTCCTCGATGTTCAAAAGGGTCACAATTACTTCCACAAACTTGTCACAACAAATAAAAATCACCTCTAAAGCATAGATAATACAACGAAGTCATGAAAATCACAGTATAAGACTCACGGGCATGCTTGACTCCGACGTATAGATACTCGTCACCATGCCTCTACGTCGTACTCAACAATTATCACATAGCAAATAGGACTCGACTCCTAATCCCTCAAGCTAAGGTTAGACAAACACTTACCTCGATGCCACGAACACAATTCAAGTTTCAATTATAGCTTTACCCCTTGATTCCACCGCCAATTCGCTCGTATCTAGTCACAAGTTACTTAATTACATCAATAAACGCTAAATGAATCAATTTGAATGCATGAAAATAAATTTTCCAAAGTTTTGCCCAAAAAGTCAAAAATCGCCCCCGGGCCCACATGGTCAAAACCCGAGGTTCGAACCAAAACCCGATTACCCATTCCCCCATGAACCCAAATATATAATTTGTTTTGAAATCGGATCTCAAATCGAGGTCCAAATCCCCAATTTTTAAAAAACCTAGGTTCTACCCAAAACACCCAATTTCCCCCATGAAAATCTTTGATTTTAAGTTGAAATCATGTTAAAAGATGTTAAGGAGTGAAGAAATGAGTTAGAAATCACTTACCAACGTTTTGGAGAAGAAAGGTTGTTTGAAAAATTGCTTCTTATGTTTTTGGGGTCTTGAAAAATGAAAAATAACTGAAAATCCCGTCTAAATATACTACTCTCAGATGCCCTGTGCGGACCGCACAAAATCAACTGCGGCCGCACATCCCTCCTTGTGTACTGCAGTGATATGTCTTAGTATTTTTGCCATAACTTTCTCTACAGATGTCCAAATTGTGACTTCTTTAGCTTTCTGGAAACTGGACACGAAGGAATACAACTTTCGATTTTGAATCATCTCAAAATTCCTTGCAGATCAAAAGATATAGGCTTCCGAAGTCGGACCAGTGAAATGTTCTTCACCGCGGACCGCACAGGCCCCTCCGCGGCAGCACTCCAATTCGTGCGGACCGCACTGGTTTGTTCAAAGGCCTTCCACTTCTTTTAGCCTGCAACAACTCTGATTTTTAAGCCTAAGACATCCCGGAACCTACCCGAAACTCACCCGAGCCCTTGGAACTCCAAACCAAGTATACACACAACCTCAAAAATATCCTATGGACTTATTCGTGTAATCAAATCACCAAAATAACATCATGAACATCGAATTAAACCTCAAGATCAATGAAATTTCTCAAA